TTTCGAATCTTAGATTCGAGTTCTATGATCCAATTTTCAAGATATGAAAAAATTTGTTTATACTTTTTCTATTTCGGCTCAAACTCAATTTGTTGATTACCCTTGCTATAAGCAAGGGTGTTGTAATCGGGTACGTGACTTTTTCCTTTAAACAACTTTGTTCTCAGTACTCATCTGTGCGTCTTAGGCTCATCTCTACCTTGTTTTATTGTGTATTCAATTTTCTTAGCTTTCCCGGTCAACTTAGTCTGGAGAAAACGAATATGCCTGGGACAGTAAAGGTCCTGAATTTGAATCTGAATATTCCCCTAGAGTCTTTTTTACTTGACCCCTCTGCGACGGTCTTGAGGGATTTTTTGACCCAAATTTTGATTTTTTTTGGTTTTTTTGAAAATTACCGCTCTCAAATATGAGTTTTTGGTTTCAATGAATAGAAGTTTTCAATGAATAGAAAGCTTGTGTGATAGTCTGAACTTTGTTTTTTTCCGACCTAAGTCGCAAATATATTAGTTTCATTTTTAAAGTGTTCGTTTTGATCAATAACCAGCTAATAAGTACAGCCAATGCTAAGGATATAAACACAGACTATTATTTTACAAAAAGCACTTTAGCTTTAAGGTATCATGGATCTGTGGCGTAGAGTTAGGTAAGGAGACCGCAACAAAATAAGAATTTGAACCTACCCAGGGTAGGATGTTTTTCGTGAACTTTTACGCATGCTAGTTGAAATGCGCCCGCTCTATAAATTGAGGCGTGTTAGTTGGTAAGTTTCTTTTTCAAACTTTTTCTCAAAAACCTACTATCACAAATCTGAGATTTCGGGTTCAATCGAAAATACAGGTTGCGTGATTCCCTTCTGCATAAGCGGCTACGCATATTTTTTTACACAAAAAGCTATGATTCTCGGAAATGTCAAATTTTTGATTTGCTCTTCGTTTTTTGAACTTTTTCGCTAACTATCATGCCAAATCGGACTTCAAAAGTTTAATCCAATAGGTTTAATCATAGGTTTTTTTTCAATTTGATTGTGTATTTTTTTAAATTACAAAATCAAATAAGAGATGAAAAGTTCATTGGGACCGGTTGCGATGATTGATCCTGTTGAATTGACGGCTCTTTAGTTTTTTCATAGGACATCAGCATAGTTTTCATTCAAATTTTTTTCGACTCAAGCTTTTTGATGTTTGTGTTGTATCGCAAGTGGTGCGAAGCTCTGCTTCACCTCTGTGTTCACCTTGTTTTTATTTAGAAACCAAAGGTTTGTTACTTTGAAATCATTTAAATCAATTCGATTTCGTTTTTTCTCTTATTTATGCAGATTTTTTTAATTGTTGAGAATTAATCCATTCTTGCTCACTACTGTTTGGGATTTTTTATTTGAAAATGTCTCAGGTACCAAGTGAACAATCCCTCCATCTTTTTAGGAAGGATACAAATCATTTGGCAGCTGGAAATAGTTTCCTGTTTGTCAGCCCATCAGAAAGAGTTGATTTGTACAAAACGAAACGCAAAATGAGAGTTTTCACTAAGCCTAATCTTGCTTATCCGAAATGAAATTTTTTTTATTTGCTTTATTTTTTTACTCATCATTATTACTTTTTGCCGACTTGAAATAATTGGACTCAGCGTCAAAATGATGCCTCAAATTTTATCTACTATCAAAGTAAACAAGAAAATGGTTTAATGATTTTGTTAAACGAATTAAATGAAAAATTTTTATTTCCGATTTGCTAATACTTGCTATTCGTAAGAGTAATAATTGCAGCAAGAGACAGTTTTCATTGTTTATTCCTTCGGCTTTTAAATAAACAAACTTAAAAACCGAAAGAATAAAGAAAGAAAACTGTCGCTTGCTGTATTATTACGTTTGCGAATAGCAAGCATTGACAAATCGGGAAAAAATGTTTTTTGATTTAATTCATTTAACAAAATCATAAAACCATTTTATTGTTTACTCTGATAGTAGATAAAGTTTGAGGTACCATTTTGACCTGGTTTGAGTGGAAGTAGCCAGTTTAATACTAGCCGTGAGCTGATTTTTTATAAATGGTTGTTGTATTTGGGAGAAATTTGATCCGACTGTTGTTTTTCAGCTTACTTTCCAAATCATTCAGTTTTTTTTCCAGTTGAAGCAAATTTTGCTAGAATTTAAAGACTTAGTGGTTTTGTATAATTTCTGGTTTTGTATAGTTTCCCTGATTTTGTATAACTTCTTTTTTCTTTCCTTTTTTACGTTTTTTGGCCAAAAGGATTATTCGGCGTAAATGTTTCAAAAAATGTGATAACGACTTAAACACTTAAGATTAGGTCATTTCAAGGGCACAAATAGAATTTTATTTTGTTTCAGGAGTAGGTAATTTTTCTAGCTTCTCTATCCAAGTTTTGTCGACTACGTGGCTATCGATAAATATTTCTTAATGGTAGTTTTTAACACAAATGTTTAATTTTTTGAGCTTTTTTACTCGCATTGTCATATTGTCTGTCTAAACGTGCACATTCTCTAATTCTCAAGCATAATCATTTAGTAAACTGTCGATACCGAATATTATGTTTTGTCTCTTGGTTTTGCCGCGAATACTATCATGCTCGTTATTACTGAGAAAGGTGAAATACTGCTGAGCAATAAGGTGAAGTTCAATTGTATCAGAATCAAAATAGGTCCTATTGTTACCAAAAATTATTCAATTTGAGTTCTAATTGGTTGAATTTTGAGCCAATGAAAAATTGAGCCAATTTACTTTTGTTCAAATAGTGCTGATTTAAATTAACCGGACTAATGGTGTGAAAATAAAACTGAACAAGGCGTTATTTTTAAAACAAACTCTCATTATTCAGACTTAACGGTTTTTTACAGATTCCTGCTACTTTCACCAAAAAATAAAATATTGGAAAACCTAAACAAAAGCGTTGCTATTTTTTATGGGCTTATTTTCGCTTCGGAAAAATCCAAGTTTTGGAATTTTCACTTAAAAATTTCAATTTACATAGAATATCGAAAAAAACTAAAGTTCCCAATTCTACCATGTGGGATTTTTTAGAGAAATGCCGGAAGTTGGAAAATGGACATTATTGTCACGCAAAAAAGGTCGGTCGGCCGAAAAAAAAACTAAAAAAGAGACGAAAATTATATATATTTGATTGCTAAAAAACTTCATTTTGCGACGTCTCAGGAGCTTCGAAAAGAAATTGAACCAGCGTTATATTTATCAGCCAGCAAATTCGATCAATTTTGGTCAAGAAAGGACAGAGCACGAGTCAGCGCCGAAAACCCAAAATTTCGGACATCAACAAAAAACAACGCAAAAAATGGTGCAAAAATTTTCGAGAAAAACCATGAAATTTTTGACAAAATGTGGTTTTTTCAAACAAAACCATCGTTGAATTATACTCCAGTGCCAAGATTCATGCGAGACGACCCCCAAATATGCGTTATCATCCCAATTATACCACTTCAACTGCAAAATTTCGAAGAAAAAGGGTGATGTTTTGGGGCTACATAAAATGTTCTGGGGAAAGAGATATAGTAGTCATCGACGGAAACATTGATTCTTAATTCTGCCAAATATTGCAAACTACTCGAAACCCACTTGATGGAAACAATTTATCTGGACGAAATTTTCCAGCAAGACAATCCCAGTTGCCATAATTCCAAATTTTCGATAAATTTTTTCCAGGAAATTGGTTTTCAAGTTTTGGAAAATTGGCCCCCACAATCTCCAGATTTGAATATTATTGAAAATTTATGGAATTTCATGAAACAGAAGATTCGTGAAAAACACTCTACAACAGTAAAAGAGCTTATTCGTCAAGTTTTTGAAACTTTTTTGGCAATTCCGGACGACTACTTTCATCGGTTATATCGCAGCATTCCTAGTAGAGTAAATACAGTTCTAAAAAACAATGGTTATCACACCAAGTACTAAATTTGTTGATTTTTGTTTAACTTCTATCTGTGTTTGTTAATTAGTTATAAAATTCTATGTAAATTTTTTTTAAAAGTGTAAATTAGGTGTTAATGTTAACAGAGTTCTGTGTTTTCACACCTTTTCTTAGTCCGGATAATTTAAATCAGCAATGTATCAAAGATCAACAGCAAAATGGTGATCGCCTCATTCGAGCCAACAGTTTGTGAACTTGACAACAGAAGGTATGACTAAATATGCAAATTAGAGCCGGTTATTACTACCTTACACCGAGGTAGACGGCTTAGCACTTTTGACAAATTGAACTGTTTTTGGTACTAACGCGACTGTTTTTTTTTGCTTTGATACAAATAAGACTGATTTCTCATTATGATACTAATGAATACCCTACAACAATTTGCTTCTTCGACATTTTCAAATTTGAAAACAGTTCATTGTAGGCAAACAATCAGCAATTGAGTGAATCTACTAGTCAGCTCTGCGCTCTTGAAAAGGTGTCAGCTTTGCAAAATCATTTTCACATCTCGGCTTCACATATTGCGCGGAATTTCTTCTAAGATAGGCAGTCAAAAAATGAACTGGTCCAAACTAACTTTTCATTCCACTCAGTAGTTTTAACTGGGTTACATGTCAGAATTTAGACAACCGCGTATTCAGACTGGTCAGTATTTAGACAAATACTGTTTCAACCAATCAGAATCGAGACAAAGAAGAAATTAATAAATAATTATTATTTATTTTGGATTATTTATGTCTTTTCTCGATTCTGATTGGTTCATACAGTATTTGTCTAAATACTGACGAGTATGAATACGCGGCTGTCTAAATACTGGCTGCACTCCTTTTATTCAAGACAATTTGATGAACATATCTTGAAAGTCACTTTGTTGAAGTCAAATTTATTACTCATTAGTTCGGAACAAATCATGCTATTAATAAAAGATTTTACCGCATTTTTCTTTAATTCATGTGAGACAATTCATGTCATGAATATCCTCGGGGGAGGGAGATCTTATTTGGAACCGAAGGGGAAGGAGTTGAGCCAAGTTTTTTGTTGTTGTTGTTGTTGTAAAACAATTAAAGTGGTCTTAAATCTTCTTTTTTTGGGGTTACGAGGGCAAGTTTCACCGCTGGTCTCGTTAAAGTACCTAGGGCTGTTTTCAGTTTACACGAGCGCGCGATGCCATCCGAGCCGGTAAAAACTTCTAACACTCGACCCAGTGGCCAGATGCCTCGTGGTGTAAAGTCCTCAAGTATCCACACGAGGTCATCTTTTTCGAGTGGTTCCTCGGGTTGCGTCCATTTAGTCCTTCTGATGAGAGTCGGAGCGTACTCTTTAAGTAGACGCCTCCAGAAGCTGTCAAGTCTATCTTTTGCTCGCTTCCAGGACTTGTTGGACAGTTTATTGGTAGATGCTTCGTAGAAGGCTGCTGCTGGAGCGTAGACGAATGGACGACCCATTAAGAAGTGGTTGGGTGTCAGTGGAAGGTCGTCGTCAAGGTCGCTACTGACATGAGTTAGCGGACGTGAGTTGAGGATTGCCTCGGTCTCGGCTACGATAGTAGCAAATAGATCTCTTGATAGTCGATCAGAACCGAGATTTAGTAAGAATGCTCGTTTTATCAATGAGACGAGTCGCTCCCACACGCCGCCAAAATGGGGGGCAGCCGGAGGATTTAAGCGCCATTCAACATTGTGGATTTGTAGCGTTTCAGTTAGGGTGGTTTCGTTGAAGTTGATTGGTTCTGAGCGTAGTTGTTTACGCGCGCCGACGAAGTAAGTAGCGTTGTCAGAGATTAAAAGCTTAGGTGTGCCTCTCCTAGCAATGAAACGTCTAATTGCCGTTATACAGTTGTTCGTAGTAAGGTTGTCTGTCGATTCCAGGTGAACCGCGCGAGTAGAGAGGCATGTGAAGAGGCAAATATAGCTTTTTTCAGTTGTATCCTTTGTTGCTATGTAGAATGGCCCGATATAGTCAATTCCTGTGTTTTTGAACGGAAATGGGTCGTCAGACGGATCGTCGAAACGAGTTGGCGGCAAGTCGGCCATGAATGGATGTAGCCTTTTGCCTTGGAATCTTCTGCAGAGAAAGCAGTTATGTCTTATCTGTCTGAGTGTTTTTCGGAGCCCAATGATGACAAAACTTTGTTGCAGGTAGTTGCGAATGTACTCAGTGCCGTGGTGCATGCAGCGGCGATGAGCGCTCTCGATCATCATGCGCACAATTGGGTCCTTTGCGTTAAGAATTATTGGATACTTTGTTGCGTCCGGTAAAGGTGAGTTTTGTAGTCGTCCTCGCGCGCGAATAACACCGTTGTCGAGAAAAGGTGACAGCTGTTGCAGTTTGTCTTTGTTTTCAACTTGTTGCTTGGTTCGTAGTTGATTGTAGGTGTCACCAAAGGTTTCTTGCTGGGACTGTTGATAAAGGAGAAGCTTAGCTTTTTCTAGGTCTTTCATAGTGGTAGCACGTTTACCGTTTCCCTTAAGTGTATCGACAAAAACTATAACCCGAGCTGTGACCCGAACTAATCGAAACCAATCTGAAAACCTGGAAGAATCGATTAAGGGTGTAGTTGAGGGGCTAACCGTTGTAGCATTACTTTGTTCCATTATTTCGTTGGTCCCTCAAATAGGCTCATTGTTGAGTAGAAATTGTGGTGCATCCAACCAGAGCTTTGCTACGTCTTTAAGTTCAATTCCCCGTGTAGCACTGTCTGCTGGGTTGAGTCTACCAGGGATGTGTTTCCATTGTTCAACTTTGCATAAAGTAAGTATTTCACCAACTCTGTTTGCGCAGTAAGTTTTCAGTTTACCAGGTGAAGCGATCCAGGACAAAACAGTAGTGCTATCCGTCCAAAAGTGAGTGGAGTGGGGCTTTAACCGCATTTCATCAGTAGCGAACTTGCATAGCCGAGCACCCAGAAGGGCGGCTTGTAATTCCAGTTTAGGAATGCTCTCTTGGTTCAGTGGTGCTACCTTTGTTCTGCCAATCAAGAAAGTAGCGTGTATGCCAGAGCTACAAGCAGTTCGGAAGTAGATGCACGTAGCCATTGCGTCTTGCGACGCGTCGCAGAAAACATGAAGCTGTATATCAATAGGTGACAGCTGTGGACCAAGTAAGCGCGGCAGTCTAACAGGGGGTACTTGTTTGCATTGGTCAACCCATTTGTCAATTATCGGAACAAAGTCACTGGGCACGATTTCGTCCCAAGAGATACCAGACTTCCACAAGTTTTGCAGAAGAATTTTGAGTTTTATGACAAACGGCGCTAGGATGCCTAAGGGGTCGAAAACCCTTGCTACTGTAGAAAGAACTGTTCGGAGTGTAGATGATGTAGTATTATTTAGCTTGGTTGTTGGTTGCACGATTAACGTATCGTCAGTTGTGTCCCATTTGACACCCAGAACACGATGCACTGTAGCATTAGTAGAAACTTCGCCTCCATCAATGGAGTAGATCGCGTCATTAGTGTTAGATACGAACTTATTTAGGTTGAATCCCCCCTGTCTTAGGGAGGATTTTAGTTGCGTAGTAGAGTCTCTAGCCTCGTGTGTCGTGTTGAACGAGTGAACAAAGTCGTCCATGTAAAAACTTTTGTGAAGCAGTTGAGCAATAATGGGTTTGGTTACGCAGTAATCGGCAGCTGTTTGATGAAGCGCAAAGATGGCAATGGATGGTGAGCATTTTGCACCAAAGATAAGTCGCGTGTATTGGTATTGTTTGATACCATTTTTAGTAGGCCAAAGGAAGCGAAGCGCATTTTGATCATCTTTAATACCTATCTGCATAAACATACCTTCAATATCCGCCGATACAGCCACAGATTTTTCCCGGAATCGTAGTAGAAGTCCAAACATGTTGTTCAGGAGGTCAGGTCCAGTTTCGAGGCAAGAGTTCAGCGAGACGCCCTTGTAGGTTGAGGCAGCGTTGGCCACTCTGCGTACCTTTCCGGTCTTGTTTGGATTAGTTACAGGGTGATGTGGGAGGTACCAAAGTAATTCAGGTTGTGGGTGTTGGAAAGTAACGGGCTTGACGTAGTTATTTTCCAGGTCGGTACTAAGCGATTTCTCATAGAGTTGCATGGTTTCAGGGTCTTTTCTGAGCCGTTTTTGTAGCGATAGCAGTTGAGCTTTAGCTACCGGATAATTGTTTGGCAATTTTATTTCGTTTTTCCAGAGTAGATTTATTTTGTAGCGATCTCCATCGTGCTCAATACTTTTTTCCATAAATCTTAGTTGTCGTTTGCTTTTATCAGAGTATGTAGCTTTGTTATCTTCCTGGATGCCTGATCCTTCTACTTTCCAGAAATTTTCCACTAATTCAGTGAGATTAGCGTCTTCTTGATCATTTAAGTCAATGAAGTTAGTTGAGTGTGAATTTGATCGGGAACTATTAGATTTCTGGTTGAGTGGGCCAGTGATCGTCCATCCTAGTAGGTTTTTTACAGCGTAGGGGGTGCCTGTAGGACCTTTTCTGATATCGCGCTCCGCAATATTCCAGAAAGCATCTACGCCAAGCAAAATTTGAGCTGTGTTGTCGCCTAGTTCAGGAAAGTTGACATGTCGAAGGTGATTGTAGAGTGAGCACGTTTTGTTAAGGTTGTTTGCGTCGATAGCGTGAAAACTCAGAGCTTCAACTGAATAGACTGATTGTAGGGTGAAAGTAGGTGTTGTAGGGTTATGTGGTCCGATACTAAGCCAGACCAGCGAGGAAGACACTTTGTCCTTACTGAAAGCACCTCGTACGCTAAGCTGCAGTTGTTGGCTTGGTTTGCACTGAAGTGTTTCAGCTGTTTTGCTGAGGATATATGAGCAGCTGCTGCAGTTGTCGAGTATGGCGTAGCAATCTAGTTTGATGCCATTGTTAAACAGTGTTACCGGCATAAATTGTAACTGATTTCTGATGTTGTTCATATTTTGGATTGGATCCTGAGCTTGTTCCGAGGGCTTGGTTACTGTAGTGCCAAGCTGCATGTTATTTGATTTTTGGTTGTGCGTTTGAAACGGTTTTTTGTCGATGTGTAGAGTTGAATGGTGTTTCCCTCCGCAGTTGTTGATGAAACATCGCTTAGACGATGTGCATTCACTAAATCTGTGTTGGCCTAAGCAGTTGAAGCACAGCTTATGTTGCTTCACCAGCTCTGCCCGTTGATCTACGGGAAGTTTCAAAAAGTCCGGACATTTTCCAACGTAGTGAACTTGGTTATCTATTGGACATGTTAAAGTTGTTGGTCTTGCTGATATGATTGAAGATTTGTCGTAGTTTTGCCTGGACATAGAAGTAAATTGGTTGGGTCGGCTGTCGGGTTGTTGTTGCTTCATAGGTTGGCGATTTCGTCCCGCTTGGTTTGGAGTCGACGGGCCTATGTCCAGGTTCTCGCATGCTCGCGAGTAGTTATTGAGGTACTGCGTCAAGTCTTTGAGTGTAGCATAATCGAGATCGTGCAGCACGCAGTGTTCTTCCCACTTCATTAGTAGAGTTACTGGGAGTTTTGATCGAGCAAGTCGAGTCAGGTTACTAGAATTTAGATCAGCGGTGTAGCCGTTGAGTTCGAAGTTGTGGATTAGTTTCCGTAGGAAAGCAGCGTATCTTATGAAGCCCTGTGGTTCGCTTAGTATCAATTTGTCAAACTTTTCAAGTTCCCTGATGAACGCTGACACCACATATTTTGGGTTACCGTATCTACGCACTAATTCAAGTATTGCCTGTTCATACTGAGAAGAATTGGTTCCGTAGCTCTCTATTAAAGATTTAGCATTATCAGTGCATAATGACTGCAAGTAAGTTATTTTTTCAACCGGGCTTAGGCGTGGGTTGTTGCCAATCGCAGTCTGGAAGAGTTCGAACCAGTTGTTCCACTCCAGTGGGTTGCCGTCAAACTTTTGTAGTTTTATATCTGGCAATTTGAATCCTTTCAAACTGTAGTTGATGGCAGTGGTCGGATGACTGGTAGTGTGGTTGGTGATTTGTCTTTGTTAATTATCGAAAAGGCTGTTGCGTTGTTGTTCGTGTGATTGTAGGATAGTCCTATGATGGTCGTTGAAGTGGTTGGTAACGAACTGTTCAGATGTAGTAGCAGGACTATTTGCAATTGAAGTTGTTAGCAGACCATATCGATTATTGCCAGTTGACATCTGGGCTTCAAGTCTTGAGTTGTCGTTCCAAATGTGATTTTCATTGGAAACTGGTGGAGGCGAGAAGTTGTATCGTAGTGGAGCTCGAAAGTTGAAAGTACACGGGTTTGCAGACGGTGAGACTGATCTGAAATCAGTTGTAGAAGTAGTGATGACACCGTTGACTGTCTGATCCATAGCTCTGTTGGTTCCCGGTAGAGGTGCGAAACTGTAGCGTTGGGGAGCGTCTAAGTCGAATGTACTCCAGCCGTAGGTGGATGTGTAAGTTGAGAAGTCGGCAGCCGTAGTACTGATGAAGTTGTTGGCCAAGTTTTCAGTAGTATTTGAGCTTCTTACTGGTACACTGGCTGTTGCAGATGTGCCTTGCACTCTAAGTGGGCTGTTAGACCTTGTGGAAACTGAACCATCGTTTGTTAAGACCTTTTCGTATTTTCTAACATTGATTAGTAGGTCGCACTTTCGTTTTCGTAGCGTTGAAGCAGTGTTGAGGCAGTCTTGTGCTTCCTGAGTAGAAAACGCGGCTAAGTCGTCTGCGAGCGTATCAAGCAGATCAAAACAAGTGGTTATCTCCTCAAAACTGAGTTTAACGTACTCGATTTCGCTTGAGTTGGCTATTTGCCTCGTTACTTCTTCCTCAAGCTCCTCGAAAGTACTGTAGCGGCGTCTCCATTGATTGAGTAGCTGTTGTAAGGTCGGCTTTGTTGGAGCCATTCAAGAAAGTAGTACAAAGAGTAGAAAATATGTATTAAAAGTTTACGAGCTCGGATGGCAGCGATCGCAAAGTAGTTCCGGTAATGAAGCTTTTATTCTGAGCTTTCTCAAGGTTTTTTCTATAAGTTACGTTTAATTTTTTGTTAAAGTCAACCAGCCAGAGGGTTAGCCCGGTGGTTAATTAAACAAAGTGAGCTACAGCTCACGCAGATATGAGCTTTTTAATTATTGTTAAGGACTAAGCGGTGAAACTTTCTTCATTTTTTAAGAGTTCAAATGAGTTAAAAATTTTTGAGACTTTCAAAATTTTTGTAAAACTTTTGTAGATGTGGCTAGTAAAGCCTTTTTTAGATATGGGTTTAAAGATAACGTTTCGGAAAAATAAGCTTTTGAAGATTCGCAGCAGCTAGTTTTGGGCTAGAAAGTTTTGGCTATCGGGTTTTGGCTATGAGTATTTTTTTTTTGTATAGGTGGGAACCTTGTTTTTTTTTGTGTTTAGGTACTACCTTAGTACCCCGAGGATTAAAATTAAATTAACCGATTCAGCACTAACATTTCAAATTGGAGGTTTTAAATTTTAGCACAATGTGGGTTTTGCTATAGCACGAACTTGAATAAAGCTTTCAAAATCGACTATGGGTTTGAAACTTTTGTAGCAAGATTATGAATTTTTAAGTTTAAGCACAAAAAGTTTTTGAAGAAAAAAAAATGTTTTCGAAATGGATCTAGCCTGAGTTGTGATGTAGAACCCTTGGTCAGGACCTGTGTTCTGCATATGAACCTCTGGAGATGTTGGTAGTGAGGTGGAACCGCTGGTTCTGTCCTGGACTCTGCCTATGGAACGTTGGAGATGTTGGTTCTGTCCTAGGTTCTGCCTATGGAACGTTGGAGATGTTGGTTCTGTCCTATGTTCTGCCTATGGAACGTTGGAGATGTTAGTTGTGAGGTGGAACCGCTGGTTGTGTCCTGGACTCTGCCTTGAAGTTGAGGGGGGTAGCTGAAGTTGTCCCTGTTGACTTGCTGTAGACTTCGATATCTTTTTCAGTTTTGGTCGCCAAATATTCAAGACAATTTGATGAACATATCTTGAAAGTCACTTTGTTGAAGTCAAATTTATTACTCATTAGTTCGGAACAAATCATGCTATTATTAAAAGATTTTACCGCATTTTTCTTTAATTCATGTGAGACAATTCATGTCATGAATTCCTTTTAACTGTTTGCTTGAGCTAAAATAGCAATGCTGAGGTTTGAAAATTACTGCCGTAACAATTATTTCCTGAGGACACCTGCATCTAGTTTCATATGAAAAAACTTTCTTGGAGAAAAATTTCAACACCAGGTCAACTGACTATTCCGTCTGAAGTGGATCAGATCAAACTTTCTAGGGCATTAAAATTTAAAACCTCAAAAAGTGTCATACTGACAATCCAACGTTGGTTATTGTCTATTAAGCATATAAATATACCTGGTCTAATACATTATCTGTGCCTATAACAAAAATTATCTTAAATCTTAAGGAGTAGCCGGAGAAATAAAACTGATATAAGCTGAACCAAAGCGTAGACAGAAAAATTACGTCCAAAAAATTCAATCCTTTTAAAATAGATGCCCTAATAAATTTTGTATAAAAAGCCCACCGACATCAAAGCAATACCAAAGAAGACAACGCGTTAAAAGTGTAACACTACACAGATCCTGAAACGAAAAATCTTGTTAGAAAAAGAAAGAGAATGTGAAGACATGGGAATTCATCCAAGTTAAAACATAAGGAGAACAAATATACAAACTAACTTGATCTAAACAGCTGCAAACATAATCTGATTCTATATTTGTTGCTGTTTCTCTATTATCAGTTCGAGTAAACCAACTGTCGAAAAGTATCAACTAAAACAGTTTTCATGATAAGGATTAATCTTATCCATGAAGTCAACGGTATGTATGTCGAACATATTCAATTAAAACCATATATACAAAACTTGGGAGCATGTGAACGAATTAGATTTCTATACTTAAAGACATGTCTTGACTTTAGATATAATTACTCTGATAACGACTATAAAAGGACTAATTTTGAGCCAAGTTATCACTCTCATCGATATCTACTACAATAATCCCAAAGATTTCGCAGAAAAATGATCTGGCTCATTATAAAAAAAAATATCTAAGGTCCATCAAAGACTTGTCTCGGATAACATATTAGTCAAAACTCATGTATCTGATTTAAAAAATTTGGGATTAATTTGCTGAGCGCTTTTGATGAACTGACAAATGAAAAAATAAAAAACTTCAAGAAATTATTTCAAATTATTTAAAATAGCAAAAACCGAAATCTTGGAATGGAGTTAACTGCACCTTAAGAAAACTTACAAACAGAAGCGAAGCAAAGCTTCGCATTACATGCGATATTATATGACAACCTAACCGACCAAAGAGATAAGACCGTAGAATTTTTTTGAAAAAAAAAATCGAAAAAACTTCATAATTTGTCTTAATTTGCTCTTGAACAAAAATTCTTTTCAGAAAAATATGCCAAAGAGTAAGAAAATTGAAAGTCAAACAAGCATAAAAATAAAACTTACAAAGCAGTAGGAAATAAATCCGACAATTCTTGAGCAGACATACATTGCGCCAAAAAATGTTTTTTTTTTTGTCAAACTCAAAAAGATTATGAGCCCCCCTCAGTAGATTCAGATGAAACCTTCTTACTCTCAAGCTACTCCAAAATTGGCCTCTAAGCAGATATATAAATAGACGAAACCATTTACGTCGAACAAAAAAGGAGAGAAAAAAAAACGAACAAAAAAATGATATACTGAGCCATAAAATTAAATTTTTACGACCCATCCGAGCTGAAACACATAAAGCATAAAAACATATTGTACCCTATAACCTACGCAATATTTGTCAAAGCCAATATCATAAGCCAAAACCGTATAATCGAAAAAATATATATATAAAGTCAGAGTTAAAAAAAAACAAATTACATCAAAGCATTAAAAACAAAAAAATTACTATCAATTACAAAACAAATATCTTACAACACAAGAAATGTACAAAAAAAATGTGAAAACTAAGCCGACAAATTATAAACCGACAGCTTATAGGCCGATTATTTTTGAAACTAAATATAAGTTTAACAAAAAGTGCTGACCGGATTCGAGCCAGTAGTTGACAATACAAATTGTCAAGAAAGTGAGCATGTTTGATGCAGTGCAGAATTGAATGCTGCACAAATTATAGCTGCACAAATGATTCGGTGATTTTGTTTAACTAGTTGTTAACTAGAAAAAAATCACATTGCAGTTTGATAACGCTTGCTAATCGCAAGCGTAATGATACACTTTAAAAGCTTATTAGTATGTTATTTCCGCCATTTTTGAATTATAATCACGACCAATAGAGCTTTAATGTGATACTAATTTTCGCTGACTGCGATTTTTCCTTAAGGTACCTAAAACCTGCGAAAAAAAAACTCGATACGCCAAAGCTAGTTGACACTTCGTGAAGTTATCGGAATAAAATTGTGGTCCGTACGATTATTGATAACAAAACGTCGTAACAATGTTTTGCGGAAAAAAATACCCGGTCTACATTAAAAATTACACTAAAAATTAAATGATTATATTTCAGAAGCATGGCTACTTCACTTCAAATCAAAGATGCAAAATTCGGTTATATCAAAAACTCTCTGAAATCAAGCTTAAACGTTTGTTACTTTAGCACTTGGGAGTCAATGGCTTGGGATACACTGTCCATCTGGACAGAAATGGATCTAGGATTTTCTCGAGATGTGCGGATTTCCACAAAAACTTCAAAATCTTTGTCAGTCTTTTTTCAGAGAAGTACGCCGACTTATCTGATCTCTGCACCGCAGGCAAAGTTTTGATTTAAAAAACCCAAAAAGGACTTGAGTGTCTACTTTAAAAAGCTTAAGGGCAGTGAGTCGAAAACGGATGTCGTAAAAAAGTAACAAAGATTAAATAATTTGCGTTCAATCGAACTTCCTCTGCTAGCCTCGTATTTTAAAACAAGTGTTTGTTTGCGTATGAAACAAAAACTTGGAAGTTTTAGCACGAGTGTTCAACTAGAGAACAGACTTCAATAATTCGACTGTGATAGTATTAAATTTCAAGGGCCGTCTGATAAATCAATCATTCCGGAACCAATAAATCCTGCTTAAGCGATTGCAGAAATACTTTCCATGAACTTGCCACTTCAATCCTTGCAACCAACTTCAATCCTCGCTACCAATAACTAAAAATTGTGCGGTGAAGGTGGGTCGTAAAAATTACAGTAATTTAGGGCTGTCTAATTTATCTAGCTTTGTGTCGGTCGTGAAGGATTACATTTGTCCAGATATAGCCAATGATTTCATTTTAGTCCATGATTTGCCTAGCAGTAGGAAAGACGTGAAATTGAAGCTTCTGGCAAAACAGGATTTCTTGTCTATTGCGAAATAAAACCAACAGTTTTGAGTTAATTCAGACCTGGTACTTTCACGAAATACGCCGTTTGTTACACTAACTTAACTTGAATTTCAATCAAGTCTCTTTCCAATATATAAATTAGTTTTTATTTAGTCGCTATCTTTTCTCAATTCAAAGCGGTGAGTTCAGTAACTTAACTGTCAGAAACCTCTTGGGTTTTTGTTCCGATAACCGTAGGTGAAAGGAAACTTTGAAATTGGGTATTATTTTTCGAAAAATTTCAGGTCCGATAAAAAATGTCAGATAGTGTTGAGCGATATATCTTATTGAAGCTCTCTCCACAATAATTCGATCTTCAATGAAAATTTTGGAAATGTTTTCAGGGTGTTGAGAAAAAGATCTCAATACTTAGGGTTTTCACGCGCCTTCAGAGTCAAGAGTTCATGGATTGCCTTTCTCATAGCGGCCATTTTGCTAAATTAGTGTAATTTGAAATTATCCCTTAATTGAACTGGATGTTAATAAAACCGAGGCAAAGCGGAGTGTCGCGCCACTTTTGATACTACACAAACATATCATTGCAAGCTAGCAGATAGAAAATGAAGAGAACGCCACAAAAGAAACTCGAAATAACGACAAAAACACACTTTCACCGACGTGTATACACTTTCACCGACAAAGCCAGTGTCCCGTTGCAGTACCCTTGCTTATGTCAAGGGTAGTAAAACAAGCTATAAAACAATTCAATTAATTTTGTTAGATAATTGTTGACCTGGAAAAACGTCAAAACCTGGATTTGGTAATGCTTGCTAATCGCAAGTGTAAACTGTGAAACTGGAGTATATAAACCATGGAACCCAAAAAAAACATCAGAAAGTTAAGAAAGCTATTTTTCTCGTTTTTTCAAGATTATTTTCGAAAAAAAATGATTCGAAATTTTCTGTGCTAAATGCCCAGCAACCGATTATTCTTGTTTCATTTACATTTTTTGAACAAATTTTGCCGAAACAAGCGTAATCTCATCTTTTGAATGTTTAATAAAACTTGCGAACTTTTATTTCCAAACAAAAATTTGACAATGTATGTACCGTTTGATTATCAGCAATTTAAATCAAAGTACATTCGCGCCACATAAACAGGTAATTTATAGATTTCAATACTAAGTTAATCATTAAAATAAATAACTTAAGCGAATAAATAGGTTAACTGAAGTTTTTTTAACAATTGCACTTGCCTAACACAGCAAGTCTTAACACAACTTTAAGCCTCAAAGTTTATAGGCTTAACCACTTCATTAAGATCATTTTTGTCAATCTTTTTGAATTTGGTTATCAAATTTTTCCTCAGTGATGATCCCATTTTTCGCTTCGTGACCAACTTACTTTTCAACATCAATTTCGAATCTGTTTTATTCAGGCTGAAAAAACTTTTGCTTTTCTTTTCGCTCTGGTTAGCCGGAGTCATGAACATAACTGGAGATTCAGGCGTAGCAGTCATAGTTTGGTTCATTTCAGTATCACTTGATTTCGATTTGGTCATGACCATTAAAGAACTCGTACGCACAGGACAAGGAGGCGGTTTTTTTGCCTGAAGCTCACCATCTTCATTATTTGATTCGTCTTGTTGTAGACCAACAATATCAGACAGACATTGATATTTTCTCTTTTCAACCGCCTTGCAGGTTTTTAAAATTGGAGCTTTTATTGAATTCATCGATTCAGTTTGGTCGGATAAAATATCCGTGTCGGTATTTTTCACCGGACTCACCGCACCCCAATTGGCGACTTTAGGATACATCAGTTTTAAAACTTGCAATGCAAACACAAACTGCTGGAAGGTCTGGATTGATTTCATTCTTTGGCGTCTGATTCCTATTAATTCCCCTACATACGACACCGATTCAAGACTAGACTGAGAAAGTAAAGCTAACACAATGTCGCAGTAAACAAAGACGCCTGACCGTCCAACCCCGGCACTGCAATGCACGACAATTGGAGCATCATCAAATGCGCCTTTATCATTGACAGCATTTATTAGGGTTTCCAAGTACTCGACTTTCGCCGGAACCCCAAAATCAGACCACGCCGAAAAATGAAAATGCCAGCATTTATGTGATTGACTCGATTTTTTATCCATAACCTCTAACATTCTTTCAGTCAAGATTCCATCGTTATTTTTCAAGTTGACACTTTTCACGCCGATGTTATTAAACTCTTTTTCGTTTTCTCCGTCTTTTTCTGATGCGAAGTGACCCAAAGGCAGGTATTCGAATACTTTTTCGCGGTCCTTTTCAATGAAATTTCCAAGCATTACAATTACTTTCACTTCATTTTGCATGACCATAGTCCAAAAGGCTTCGCATGTGTTTTCCAATGGACCTTGACACATTATGTATTCTCTCGGCACTAGATCGTGCTTAATGTGAGATGCATTTATGTAATCACATTTCGTGAATGAATCCTGGTCGATTGGGGGTTCGAGAATCACTCGGTTTTTGTTAAAAGGCAGTACATTGCCGTAGCGGTTCAAAGACTGTTTTTTCTCGCCATCTGAAGACGAATATCGGATTGGGTGTTCACGACTTTCTAGTCCGACTTTTTCAAATATGTTGTTCAATTCTTGAGTTATTTGAGGCACTTTCTTCCCTGATAAAAAGGATTGAATCGTGTTGTTCCATTTACTGTACAACATTAGTTCCCTGAAAACAAACTTCTGTGTGAACAAAACTATGCAAAATATCCGTTTTCCCCCACTATTTGTAGAAATAGTGGGGGAAAACTATTTCTATTTTCCCCCACTTTGTAGAAAACTACGGAATATTTGTGCTCAAGTGTGGTTTTTTCTTCAGATCATTTTATTAACTAACCACTTTTGAACGGTTTTATCTGAAAGATTTTGTTAAATTATGTTTCAAAATTACAGGTTTAAAAATTGCCAATTTGGGATGATTAAGGCGCACCATTAACCCAAGCGTCTGTGGCAAACTATTAGATTTCAAAAATACTACAGCCGATATCTTATCAGGCAGTAGCGACAATCAGGGCTTTGTCCTGATACGAGTAGCCGTTGGTCTTATTATTATTACGCTACTAGACGCCAAATACCTCAACTGGTCCTTATTTAGCGTGCGGGAAAAAAACTTATTTTTTAAATTTCATAACTTTTTATTAATTTTTATGTCAAAAATTTTTTCATAAACGCTAAAAAACAGGAAAAATTTCATTAACTTTTAAATCAAAAACTTTCTCAAAAACGCTAAAAGCCATCGGAACATTCATGCCCTGATACGAGCAATCTTGTTAGTTATTAGAGACTATTCAATTGGTGCGGTATAATATTACTTAACAGTTCAAAGCAATAAAAACTTAAATTGGTCAGCCAATCGTGAAAAAAATTATCTGATAAACAAGATTCTGAGGTACTTATGCAGAAGACACATCAGTTTTCTTTCATTCTCAAGAGAAGCCACATAAAAGAAACAAGCAATTTCGTTGATTCACGATTAAGTCATATTTTTATTAATGTCAACTAAGCTCCGTTTACAATGACAGCTCAGCCTACTTAACGCACTGTTACAAGGCTTGAAAATTGGAACCGAAAAAGAGTTATAGCCAAGAGCGGATTTATCTGAGCTGAACGTTTTACCAGCAAAGCACAACAGGGCTAGAAATCTATCAAGAAGTTGTTGCCAATTTGAAAACTACTCGCTAAAAGCAGACAGCTAAAAACGAACTGCAGTTTTTAATAATAATAAGACATTACTACACTACAAATCTTCAGTAGCAAATCACGAGTATTTTTGAGCTGAATTCCAAATTCAAAAAGTCTACAAACAAGTATAAACTCACTTCTAACTTTGCCGTATTACAGCACATACAAGAAGTTACACGCGAATTTAAGCGATCTATACTTTTTTTCGACCCCCGTTTAAATAGAAATCAATAAAGCTATTAAATTCAGAAAAAGCGCCAAAACTTTAAAACAAAAGAATAAACGAACACCTACAACTTTTTTAGACGATATTACCAGAAACATTTTCTGCAGATCCCACTAACCAGGAATCAGAAAATCCGCGAATATCAAATTCATTTTTTGAATATCAAAAAGAATGGACGAATCCAACTATGAAATAGAACTTCGATATCGGACTAGCTATCGTCTCGGAAATTTCTGCGTCTCCGAAATTTGAATTTTCGCCATGTTTAAAACTCGAGGAACAAGACACAAAAAATAGCGAGCAGAGAAAACATGTTTTCTATCCTGAAAATTTGTCGCCAGACAAAACAAGGCCATGGCGAAACTTAACAAACTTTACACATTCTGAAATAAACTATGAAGCCTATGAAAATAACACAATTTCATCAAGAATTATTAGTTATGACAAATATACTCAACGGTAAAAAGAGCTAGATCACAACAAAAAAAAAACAACTTTAAAAACTAACACAAAATGCAATAAAAAAACAAGAATTTTTCAAAAATTTCAGCCAGGAAAAACCACACACCTAAATCACGTGCAGAACATGTTTATCAATTTTCTTGATTTTTTTTTGACAAATTGAAACAATACGTTAAGCCATCAACTTGAATCGATTTCAAATAAAACTGCTTAAACCTAAAACACACCAAACTAAATAAAACTAAAACTAGTTTCACGCACTTTTAGAGGAAAAAAATTTCATAAACCATGTTTTACTAAAAGTAAAACTAGTTTCACGCACTTTTAGAGGAAAAAAATCAGAAACCATGCATCTTAATAAAACTAAAACTAGTTTCACGCACTTTTAGAGGGATAAAAATCAGAAACCATGCAACCAAAAAAAGCATCCAAAAATGAAAAACATCTGACAGAAAAATCTATAAAAAAATTTCATTTCTAAGAGAAAACTTTGGCGCCTATAAAAACCAGAAAACCATGAACTATATCTATCCTCATAAAATGCACAAAAAAATTCAAAAATCTGCCAAAAAACTAGAATTAATTACCCGGCAAGTAAGCCGACATAAATTGGGTCGAAATCAATAAAACCGACAAAAAATCAACTTGCATCATCGCTGACATCTGTTTCAGCTATAAAACAATAATCACTTTGGACGATCAAGCCAGCTTTTAAATCAGCTGCTAGTCGTGCATCTTGAGTAGAAATAGAGAAAAGAGATACATTTAGAGAGGACCAAATTTCAGTCATCCTGTGGACAAAATGGTTTAAGGTGAAAAAAGTCTAAGGCTAAAAAAACTACCGCTCAAAAATGAGTGTAAAACCTCTGCTTATGGTATGGAAAATGCTTCATTGATTCTCTTAGAGTTGTCAGCCTGATAAAAAGTAAAGCTTCCGAATTGATAACGGTTGTTAAATGCAATCACAAAATGAGCGTAGCAACTACATTTTAACTCGGCAGTTGATATTGAAATTGACAAAGAGGCGAAGCTGCACTTTAAAAACACTAGCGAGAACAGGACAAAAAAGCAGCTTTATGAAGTGAAATAAGAAAAATATAAATAAACCTCGTATTAGTTAATTTGTGCTACGTATTGGCTTCGAATCTACGAGAATATGAATTTCACACCCTGCATCTCGGCCACGAACGGTTTCCAATAAGCAACCATTAGTCACAAATAAGCAGCTACATATGCCAGTAAATTTCCAATGCAGTGCAGCAAAATTGGAACTATACACAAATAGACACAATTTTGCCAGTAATAATTTGGAATATAACCAACTGAAGGCATCCAGGCTAACTTTGCATCGAAAAAATTGGAACGCATAAAGCCTTATTATGTATAAATTATTTGAAGCAAATACCTTTTTCGGTTAACTTGAACAATGCGAAATGCATCAACTGTGTTAATTTTTTACTATTCTTATGTCATAGCTCAATTACATGCTTGTTCAATTATGTCAAAGCAAATGCTAGTTAGAAGCTGTAAGGATGCTCCAAAAGTGGCACCAAAATTTGGGACTAAGCTTAGAAAAAAGAGTAGTCGTACTGTAACACTAACGCTCACTAAATTTGGCTAGTGTAATTCTAATGGGTTGTGAAACAACTAAAACTTGGCCAAAAATTCATCCGTAAAATTTATAATTAGTTTCTTATAAGTGAAATATTTATTAAAAAATAAAAGAGGGTTAATGATTGAATGAGGAGCAACCAGGCCGACAAAACTTGGGTGGACACACGTTAGGCCGAACAAAAAATATATATATAATTGAGCAATAAAAGATTTGAAGTTATACGTTCCAACCCCCTCCTGAAACACACAAAAGCATAAAAATTTAACTTTGTCTTTCAAACGACGCATTACACGTTAACCAGACCGATGTAACACCAATTGAAACCATTTGAGCGAGAAAAAAAATAAAGAAAACGTACAATATCAGAGTTGGTAAAATTACAAACTGCAGAATAACGTTTAAATAAAAAAAAGTGCTTACAACAGAAAACTCCGAGCTTCTGAAAAAAGCAAGCAGACAAAGGATAATCCGATAGTTTCAAATTCCATACATATCAAAATAAGTCCCGCTGGGATTCAAACCCAGACCTTACGATCCCGAGGCGAGCGCTCTACCACTAGACCTAATGGGGGCTGGCAGTACATGAGTTTTCATAATACACCAAGGTCAAATTTTCACTTATTTGTTTTTAAAAAAAGTCGTTTTTATAGTGAAAAATGATGTCTAGCTCTTGTAAGTTAAATGAATGAGCAAAAACTATTCCTGATTTCGGAATTTTTGCCGAAATTCTTACAGCGGAAATGATGCAGTTGCAAATAATTTAAGCAACAACAAGACTCAAATATATGATGCGTTCTAAATCCACTTTTCAACTGATTCTATTAGTTTATTATCAAACTGAACACCCTTCAAACTACAGACAAAAAGGAAACTGTCAAACCAACAATTTCCACGCACCGCAAAAAAAAACAGGTTCGACCGGGACTCCAACTCTAGACCTTATGTTATGAAGGCGTGTGCTTTACTTTACAACAAAAGCGGGAAAAAGCGGAGACAATCAATATTTTTGAGTCTATAACGACCACAAGACAATTTTTCACAAGAGACCTCAAAACATTTCATTTACTAAAAACATAATTGAACAAAAAAAAACAATCACCAATTTCGGTTTGGTTGACTTTGAATTCGAGAGCTATGCGAAACGAAAACATATCAGAACAAGACTTCTCTTATCAGGGCGAAGCCCTGAATGTTCCGACTGCCTTTTAAGGTTTATGGAGCAGTAATTACATTAAAAAATTAGATATAAAATAAAATCTTCTAAAATTTGAATTTTTTTTAAATGAAAATCATCACCCCACACGCCATATAAAGTAAAAAAAGATAAATTTTGCTCCTTATAACAAATCAATTATCGCAAATAAGCTTCTTTCAACCAATTTGGAATGATTTCTAAGACGTATTAACTCTCCTCTCCGCTTACTCGTTAATAGGGCGAAATATATCGCGCGTTAATTGTCCCAAGTCGCCCAAAATGGCAATCTTTAAACCCTCATAACTTTACGAAAAATGATCACAGGTAAAATATATTTTCAAATTTGAGCTCATGACAACAATACCTTTCGAATGATATTAAAAAATTCCGTCAAAAATAGCTAGTTAAAAAGTCGAATTTTGTCTGAAGAAAAAAAAACCCACCCCGAGCACAAATATTCCGTTACTTTCGTATCGAAAGTCGGAACAAATAGACGCAACATGGTTTTATTTCAAATGGGGATTTATACTAGACATAATAAAATTCCTTCAGTCACTGATACAAAAATTTCAACGCCAAGAATAAATGAAGTTTTCAACATTAATCACTGATGTTTTGGGCAAGTAGAAACATCAATTATAAAGATTCTGCGTAATTCGGGTTATTGGATTTTTTGTATCAACATTTCAAGTTTAAAAGCCAGCCAAAATAACAATTTTGATTTTTAGATTAATAACTTTCATTTTGTTCCGACGATAACTCAACTAATCCTTTACTGGTTATAATTTCTTCGGAACTGCAACAACGAGCAACAAAAGACAATTTGTTGTCGCTTGCCTCAATTTTTGTGAGTTTTCTTTATTAGCGAATAGTTGCAGTACAAATTTCTACTTCGATTCATCAATTACCTAACTTCGAAAATGTTATTTTAAGAGTTTTATTATACCCTGAAAAGTCTTGGATACGATTGCTTTTAAGGTATCAGTAAATTGATATTTATTATTAACTTAAGCTTCGCAACAGCTGAAAGAAATAAATTACTTAAAAAAGTAACAGAACGAATGTGACAACAAGTTTGGTTCATTTCGAAATATTTGATTTAGATTTGCCACATAGGAGCGAAAGAAAATAACGCGCTATGTGAAAAATAACGGAAGAAAATCAAATGCTTCCTGTCGAGCACCTGCTGCAAACTTCAAGTGGTTTTGATTGATATTCAGGGTATTAATTGTATTTATGAATAAATCCATGTTCTATCCTGTCCCTGTGACTTCCTTTATTAGCACTTGAGCTCAAGTCGCTTTCCAGATATCAAACTTCAAAAGGCCAACTGCTTAGTTGTCAAAAGAAAAGTATGATTGGTAAGCGTTTTACAACATTACCATTGATAACTGCTGCCTCAGCCAGCTTGCTACCAAAGTCTATCAAAAAATCCAAAATCAGTTTTTGGACGCTGATGCTGTAGATTTATGAGCATGCCGTCCAATTTTACCAGATGTACAATTTAATTGATTTACCGCAAAACGTAACACGCATATTCATTAGGACTTGTTGTTTAGCTGAATACATTTTTACATAGCAAGTTTTATAACCAAAAAAAGCAAACTCGCTTGAAAAAGTGTTACAAAATGTTCAATTAATTCACTTACCTTTTTAAACAATGAGTCCATTAAAGTACATTACATATTTGTTGATTTTATTTTCAAGTCTTTCCAGTTATTTTACAACATATCTGCCTTGTACTTTCCAAGATCGTATTTTCGATTGCATCGACACGAGGATTACTTTCGACCGAATTCCAAGAATCCCTAAGAACGCAACAGCCGCACTATTATCTTCGAAAGAAATCAGTTCTATCAAGAGCAGTGATTTTGTCGACCGCGGAGATCTCGAGAGACTGACTCTGAACAAAAACCACATACAGCATATAGACGAAAACTCTTTCCTTCCCTTACAAAAACTAAGATTCTTGAATCTTGACTACAACCGAATGGAGAAACTAGATTTTTATACTCCGCTGACATTGGAACATATCAACCTAAAAGCTAACCGGATTAGCTTTGTATCGCCCAGATTCCTGCGATCAATGAACAATTTGCAGGAGTTCGACATTTCTAAGAATAAATTAACCGAAATTCCTCCTAACCTATTCCAAGATATAATTGTGAGACAGCAACAAATTACGCTCGATTTTTCTAACAACTTGATTGAGTCTCTTCGGAAAGAGTCAATTGCGAATCTGATTTACAATTCCAACAGATACAGCAAACTTAAAATCAACTTGTCTGGTAACCCTCTTAGGTGCAACTGCCTCATGAAATGGATTTCGACACTTCAAGAAGACTTCAGTCAGCATAGCGTGTCGCACATCGACATCCAAGGTGCTTGCAAGTATCCAATCGCTATGAAAGGCCAACAACTGTCGCGTCTTCAGTCGCCCGAATTCGCATGTGAAGCACCTAAAATTGATATTACAGTACGCACACACATAGTGCTGGACGAGCATGACCACGGGATGATTCCATGTTCTGCAAATGGAGACCCAGATCCAACTATCTCTTTCAAGCTATCAAATGGTGTCTGGCTATCACAGGGATCCTCAAGAGTAAGTTACTAAATATTGTACAGGAAAAAGCGTTAAAACTTTATGACATCAAAGAAAGTCCGCTTCTTTTTGCTCAAGCTTAAGACTGTCATTTCGTTCTACATGCAAAACAAATTAACTGCAACAAAATTCCCCAGAGGTGAAGCGAAGCTTCCCATCAATTGCGATACAACACTAACATAAAAAAACGTAAAAAATTGATTTTGTAAGAAAAAGTGTTAAGTCCGCCTTGAAACTGCAATGACCAATACTTGCGACTATTATGAAAAATGCTGAGAGCACATGATTTTTTGTGTCGTAACTAAGCCGACAAAACTAAAGCAGACAAACGAAAGGCCGACAACACAATTTTAACCGGAAATTTCTTCTGAGCCACTTTGAATAAATCAAGAGCTGTTTCTGTTTTTAGGGCAAATACTCGGTGACCAATGACGGAATACTCATAATAGACGAAGTATCTATCGGAGATGCGCAGCGAATCCAGTGCATTGCCTCCAACATAGTGAAGAACACTACAATCGAAATCATAATAACAGTAAACCAGCAGCTGTCATCCACTGAAAAGACAAAAATTGTCGCAGCTGTTGTTTTTCCACTAGCTATTCTTGCTTTGTTAACTCTTATTCTGTGTTGTTTTTGCTCACCTAGGGTACGTAAATGCTGCAAGCCAAAAAGAAAAATGCGGTATTCGAATGTGAATGGAAAACCAGTAGAAGACTTTCGCTTCCCGGGAGACAAACAATTATCCATAGGAGGGCTAATGAGTCCAAGCGCTTGTGCTGGTTCCAGAACTCTGCCCAATGGCATATTGACTCAGCCCAAACCACAATATCAGCAATTTACGTCACTACAAAGAAACCAACAAGCAACCATTGACAATTCAAACAAAGCTGCTGTACCTTTGAGGTGAGAGCTTCTTGTAGTTTTGTTGGTAACTTTTATGGTCTAGTATGGTCTAGAAAAGTATCAACCGTACGATTATTTTCTGAACTTCATTTTCCAAAAAAAAAAATCACAAAAAATATCGGGAACATTGCAAAGGTGACTAATGTGAAGTGGGAGCATTCTACAGTTTTTTGATGGTAAATGGTGTTTAGTTAAGCTAAAATTTAAATAATTTCAGACAAACTGGATCCAATACCATGCCAGCAAACCTGAGATCAACCAACTTGGTTGTAGCGCAGCCGACAACTTTGCCTAGCTCAATAGCAGTTCATATTGACGCGGATAAACCGATGGCACCAACTCCTCGAGGCATTTTGTTCAGAAAAATGTCACATCCCTACGTAGCAGCTGGCACGGTAACGAATGGTATAACTGTTCCTGCAAAGCTTCCAGCAACACCCTTGTATATAGATCCACCTGAATTTGAGCCACGATCACTTGAAGCTGTTGCAGTCGATTCGCAAGTCAATTTGCAACAAAACTCTCAGGAGACAGAAACTTGAAGTTATTGAACATTCACATCATTAACCAATTTCCCATAAAATAGTTCCGCCACGAAATACATATTTAAATAATTCGCTTGAAAATAATTTTTTTAAATACTTAATACAAAACTTGATTCAGAAAACGATCACTTACTAAGGAAGATTAGACAGCCTGGATCAATGAATCTCCAGGTAATGACTAATTGAGCTATCTCCCCCTAGCAAAATCGGTCAAACGCTATCGAACGCAAGCACATGGTTGATAGATAAATGGGACGTAATCAATTGACCGACCAATAAAGTTTACCGATAAAGTTTACTTTATATGAAGGTTCAGAAAACTTTATGGAAAACCAATTTCTAGTGATTTTGTGATTGGATGCCAGGAGGATAATAGAAAGTACTAATTAGGAGTCCGATGAAAATATAAATTCTCTTGAACTCATAAAAGTTTATACTCAAACACACCCCTCATAAAGCAATTGATATCGCTGATAGTATTCTCCCGGTTAGTAAATTACACCATCGACAGTGGCCAGAAAAACTATGAAAATCAACAAAATTTGGCCGTCATTCAGGTGCATGTTAAGTGCAATGAATCTTGGTTAGTTCAAAAAGATGGATTATCCGCGGGCGCCTTTCTGAAGAAGAAGAAAAGAATCAAATTAACATCTGAAAATGATGAATGAATAAGTCAAGCGAGTTCACCAGTGCCTTGGTCCTTCTGGCTTTAGCCTTGGGTCAGTTTCTAAAATTTATTCAAAAGGCTGTCAGGAAACATAGATCCATACACCTTTTTGACTGCCACTTCGGCAGTCGGTAGCCGTTTTCTTAACCTTTCGTTCGGAACAGTAATCGCGCCTATGCAGACTATGCAGCAATATGTCATATAGTTGATGCATCGAACCAATTTCAGTGATAATATTCAGAAGTCTCGCGTCTTTGACCTTCAATGTGTTCTTCGATATGAACAAATTCTTTTACAATAACCATAAGAACAGCATGTTTTTGAACAGCGTCCACTTTTCTAAGAACCGATTTCGCAGCGCCGCCCCATACTTCCAAGCCGTATGTTAAGACTGATAGAACAAGTGACTGATACAGCAAAGGTAGGTCATTTGCACGATATCCCAATCGCTTTAGTTTAAGAAGCAGGAACAGGTTTGCGGAAGCTCTACTGGTTGTCTTGGATACATGTGGTAGAAAAGTTAACCTGCTGTCTATAATAATTCCCAAAACTTTCATATTTTCAACCAGCGGTATGCTTTCGATATCTGAGCAGATTAAGGGTACCTTTTTTTTGAAATTGAAACTCATTTCTTTAGATTTAAGGGCGTTGACAATAAAATTATGATCCATACACCACTTGAAGATTAATTCAATAATGATTCGACTAGGGTCGTCGAGTCCTCTTACGCCGATTACCGGATTTTTGTCGTCTGCAAACTTGACTAGACAAGCATTTTCGTAGAGACACTTCAATTCGTCCAACGACATATTGAAGGACAGTGGTCCAAGTACCGTCCCCTGAGGTACACCTTGGTTGATGGAGGCTGGTTTTGACAGTTCGTTCTGATATGATACAATCTGCACTCGATCTGATAGTTAACTTTTCAGCCAATTCATGTAACAGTCGCCTACGTAAATCAAATATGAGGTTAAAAAAATAGGCCCAATAACCATTGGCTCAAGAGTCAGGGACACTATCTCTTGTGTTTTTCTACCTCGAACGGTCGGAGCCAATTCGGTTCACTTGCGATATGAGACTAAAACCCTCGTTACAGCTTAAAGGCCACTACTAAAATACCCCCCCTCTAGAAAAAAAAACGTCCCCATACCTAGGTCTCAAAACACCCAAAATTCGCGAACGTCGTTAAAAACAGGGTCGGAATATTCCGTTTTAGTTACTTTTTATTAGACAGTGGAACTTTGATCCATTTCAGATGGATCAACCTAAAACTCTACCTACCTCAACATAACAATTATGAAGCACACTCAAGAAAATTAAATCGGGTATTCACATACCGGCACAATCGCGATTTGGAATAACTAAATTAACTAGCAACTCTAGCATGAATGGAATCAAGTATAACTTGAAAAGTTTTGAATCAAAAAGTTTCAGCTGGGGAGAATGAGTTTTAACTTGAGAATCGAACTTCGGGGTTGGGTGATTGGGAGACTTCGGTTGTCCACCTTTCCACAGAAGATTCACTCTGGTCCACTTCTTATTTGTATCTTCTTGGTTCGCAATCGTTCTGCCTTCTATTTCAGAATAGGACAGCTCTACTCTACTATGATATTATATCTGGAAATTGCTAATAACAATTTCCCTCTGCTTTTTTCGATAATTTTCCAGCGATTGTAATTCGGTTGTTCTGATCTCATGTTTCTGAGATTTTCAGTTGTCGCGAGAAAGTTGAGCATGACATGCCCAATTTGAAATTTTGACAAATTCCATTTCTCCCCAAAATCATGTTTCTCGCGTTGCTACTCAGATTTCATCCGAGTTCACACTCGAGCCCCTTCCCTTCCCTCTCAAGACTCAAGAGTCCCTCACTGAGCTCCCTGCTCTTATCGTATTCCTTGCCTTTGAGGAGCTATGCCCTGATGCGTTTGACACCATAATCTGCCTTAGCAGCGCTTCCTCATCATCGGAGCTGATTACGATCTCTTCCCAATCTTTTAGTTGTTCGTAGGACCGCATCAACTCCCTCTGCTCTTGCAACCTCTTTGCCTGGTTTGGCAAACCCTTCACTTTCGATTCCCTGTTCAAGCAAAAGGAGTTGTGAAGATTCAGGCTCACGTTCTTCGCTAAGTCCTCTTTCCAATAATGATTCCCTCCTTCTCGAGCCTTAAGGATATTAAAATCTTTAATCATATTACTAGTGTTAACCTTATCCTCCCAAACTTAAGCATTTTATTATCAGCTTTTTGTTTCAGAGCAGAGCTGTCTTTACAGTCGTCATCTTTGGTCTCCTGATCCGTTTCCCTCAGCTTGATCATCTTGTTCAACAGCTCCTTTCTCACCTTTTCGTCCAGTCCAATGCCCATCAAAGCTGGTTCTTCGAACTTCACCACCGTGTTTCATAACTCTTCTTTGAAGCTCTCCAGCGTAGCCTCGCTTTTCGCTTTCTGGTTAAACTCACTCAAGAATTTCCGCCACATCTTCTTGTCCAGAGTATTCAGGAACATCCATTTGTTGCCCTCGAAAGCATTCTTCTTACTTTCTTTGGCACTCAAGACGATCATCCCCATATTGGAGGTTTCGCTGGTCAGTGGCAATTCCAAGTCTTTCCGAGGGGATTCCAGGGGTGACGTGGCCGTGTTTGCCCAATGGTCTACACTGAAGTCGTGCGTAGTAAAGTCCCTTTCAGCTGGACCCTGGTCTGGTGTGTTTCCCACCTCCATTTCTTCTTCACTTCACTGAGAGTCTCATCCATACTCTCTCCTTCCTCTGACTCAGCCCGCCCTTTCTCAAGTGTGTCCTTGAACCTATCCTCAACGGGGTTGCTTCTCCTGTCTCCAGTGGTGCCTATTGATAAGGGTGAGGGGGTTGCCGGGTCCAGCTTCTTACAATTGCTCAGGGCTACGTAAAAGGGGCCTGCTGCATCCAGTTCCTTCTCTTCTTGTTTCATCTAGACTTGTTCCAGTCCATAGGGCGCTCGGTACTTCCTCGTGGCGAACCTCATCTCGTCTTTTAGAGCGATGTGTCCCTCCTCTACGATCACTCTCCCATTGTCCCAAACCGGTAGCATGTTCTCCAGTTCCGCTTGATCGAGCGTCCTCAAGATATCACGAACCTCGAACTTCGGAGGCATTGAACCTCTCATCTTCTTCGCTTGCGTCGTCCACGAGTTTATCTTGATATCACACGTGTGAAAATAAGTAAACCGCTGCTGATAATCCGATAAACAAGGGATCCCAACCGTCGGTGAACTCCTTCTGCTGCTTCTCCACCGTGGCTCTTGCGTACAGGGATGGGACCACTAGTGGGCTATTCATCCCCAAGGTCATTCTCCTGACCATCGGGAAATCCGGGACAGTGGTGGTCAAAACCTCTTTCTCTAGTAGCATTTCTAATTCCCTCTTTACCAGCTCAAAACTCCCTTTCCACGCCGGGATTCCCAAGATCTCTTGCTTGTCTGCTGCTAAGGGATTCAAACTCCAGAACTTGGGGTAAGCTTCAATGGGACCTTCACGTTTCTCCCCATTCTACACTGCAATTGTTCCCGGAAATTGAACACTAATAACTCGGGGTCCTTGATTTTCCCGAAGAGTACCGTGTCGCTCATCCGTGCCCTCAGCTCCCCCTGTCTGCACCAGTTTAGCGCTGTCCCGTCTAGCACACTTATCAGACTCACGTGCACCACTGAGTTACGGTACGCCACCACGAGCGGGTGAGGAAAGGCATATGTCACCGCCGGCCCAAAGATGCGGAATATGACCTCGCCAAGCCCCCTGATCATCCCCAATAGGTCAGATATCATGGCCAGACACAGGTCAGTCAATAGAGGAAGGCCACCATTCGCCTCCTTCAGTTCTTACCTCGTCTTAGGATTCTTTTCTTCGCCAGTCAAGTATCGATTTTGCATCAGGAGATACTCCACCAGCAACGTCTTTAGTCCGGCAGCGCACTTGTTTGTGTAGGTTTGTGCACTTGGGTGAGTCTTCCCCATCGACAGGCATTCCCCATATTTCATCAATCGACGAAATGCCACCAGCTCCCCGTGAGTCAAAAGTACCAGCGTTAAGTACCCATCTATTCTAAGTGTCTCCACACCCCTGCTGAACATGTACGCCGGACCCATGTTTACAGATAACTGGGATAAACCAGGTACAGGGCCAGCAAGAGACTTATGGGCAGGTATAACAATTCCTGCACGAAGGCCTCGAATATGGTGTCCCTCGCATAGAACACCCTAACCATGTATCTCTTCTCCCAACAAGGGCTCAAGAGTCTCAAGATCTCGTGATTCTTCCTCGTTCTCAGCTCGTCCTTCGCATGTTCCCTCCAGAATCCCCCAATAGTGATTTCGTTTGCCGCCGTGACGAATCTTTCCACCGTCATTTCGCTGCTCTCTGCCACCTCCAG